CTTGTTCGTCAGTCTCAATCCGAACATTCGGCAGAGGAGCCGATCATGATGAGGTTTGATACCGACGGCTTCAGTGCGCTGGAGGTCATCGGGGAGCTGGGCCTGCAGGCCGTCGGCCTGTCCGACTACTCAGTCCAGCTCATTGACATCATTCGGGAGTCTATCCTCTGCGTGTACAAGGGTCACTACGATGTCGTCCGGAGTATCGCCTTCCTCCCGGGTGAGACGAGCAGCCCTCCTGCTCCCCCGTCCTTCCCGACTTTCCTCTCCTGCCCGACTTTCCTCTCCTGCTCACTTCCGATCACTCCTCCTCATTCCCTGTCCCTCCTCCTCCTTGTGCCCTCTCCCGTGTTTCCTATCCCCCCACCCCTTGTAATCCCCCGGGGCCCTCCTACCTCTTCTAGTCTACCCTCACTCCCACCTTGCGTCGCTCCTCCTTCCCCTTGCTCCTGTGAACACTCCTTCAGTGTTCCTCCTCCTTCCGAGGGGAAGGAGGAGCGAGGCAGGGTGGGAGTGAGGGTAACCTCGCCTCTACCTTCCCCCCCTCCCTCCTTCACCCCGTGCGGGCTTCAGCTGATCTCCTGCAGAGAGGAATCAGCTGCTGACGGGAAGTTGGGACATGACCATCAGAGTTTGGACCTTGTCGGGCAAAAAAAGATCCAAGGCGGTGAGTGGACTGGGGTCGCTCTCAGCAAAGATCTCCTCGTCCTCGTCCTCGTCCTCGTCCTCGTCCTCGTCCTCGTCCTCGTCCTCGTCCTCGTCCTCGTCCTCGTCCTCGTTCTCCTCTCTCTCCTCCTCGTCCTCTCCATCTTCCTCGTCCTCGTCCTCCACCACCACCATCAGCACCACCACCATCAGCACCATCAACACTCCAACCTCCTCCTACTCCTCCTACTCCTGCTACTCCTCCACCACCACCACCACCACAACCCCCCCCCTCCCCTTCCCCCCTTTTCCTCCTCCTCCTGCATCTCTTCCTGCCATCTCGAGAGCAGCTGCGCACTGCTTTGTGAGGTACTTGGTCGTCCGCAGGTCATTCGGGGACAATCGCAAGTCTCGTTGCAAGGAGAGCCGGAGGAGAACACCAAACCGTTTGCAGACAGGTGGGAATGTTTGGAGGTGGGAGTGGAAGAGGTAGAGGGGAAGTGAGAGAAAGAGGTGATGATGGAGGAGATATTGGCAGAGGAAGAGGAGTTTGTGGTCGCGGAGGAGGAGGAGGAGGAGGAGGAGGAGGAGGAGGAGGAGGAGGAGGAGGAGGAGGCGAACGTGCTTTGTTGATTTTTCCTGCAGAGTTCCACCCTTCGAGGCCTTGAGCATCAAAGACAACAGGATGACAACGCAGAAGATAAGTCCTAGAGAAAACAAGGTGAGGAAGGAGGAGGGGAGGGAGGAGGGGAGGAGGGGAGGGGGGAGAGGAGGAGAAGAGAGGGAGAGTGAGCAAGGGAGTGGGAAGGAAAGAGTGATATGATGGATCCGCTTTGTTATTCTGCCTTCGTGTTTCCTACTGATTCCAGGAGGGGGAGAAGTCGGAGTTGACTGCTCTCGGAGAG